AAATGTAAAATAGTCTTTATATATTAAAATCATCCATTATTATTAAAATATAATATTTATTAAATTTTGTGTAAAAGATAAATACTTATTTTTTGAATAGACTGAAAGATTAATATATTTTTTTTTATTAAAGATTAATCAAATACATTCAAAAAAGTAAAATAATAATAATAAAATAAATAATCCTAAAATATTAATTTTATCGATAAAAAATTAATTAAAACTCTATTTTTTTTAAGCCCATTAAAACTCGGAAAATGTTCTTACATACGCAATAATTAAGCAAATCGGCAATTCTAATGAGTCAATTATAACTTTTACGACTTTCTTTGGCATATATTTAAAAATATTTTGACACTATTAATTTATAATACAAATTTAAGGAAATGTTTTTATATATAATTTATTAATTTTTTCTTCCAAATAATCAAATCGAATACATATTATATATATATATATTATATGTCCTCTTTTTCCTATAAATTATTCACTATTTCTATTTATGTTCGTTCCATATAATTTTAATTTTTAAAAAATGATTATACAGTTTAATAACATTTTAAATTTTATAATTTATAATTTTTTAAATCTTAATTAAATAAATTAATTATTTTAATTTAATCCATAATTAATTATATTATATAATAATTATTTCTAGTAATACAATTCTTAATTATTTATTAATCATTATTTTTCTAAATTCTTATATCTACATTACTTGACATATAAGATGAGATTGAAGGAATATTATAAATTAATACTGCATTTAAACTATTGCATTAAATATTTATTTATATCACTGTCACATCATTATTTTAATTCAAAATTTTACTATTTAAAATCTAAAATTCAAACTCGAGGCAAAGAAACTTTAAACCAAATATTTTTATTTTATTTTATAAAATATAAAATCAAATAGTCAATTTTGTATCATTATTTTGAATTTACAAAACTTCAAACAACTACATATTATATCCAAACAGTGCCTAAAGAAATAATAATACACTAATACCAAAAAGTAACTTTTAATTTTTATTTAAATTACAAATATATCATTACAAATACAATTATTATATACGAACATTCTCTTGTGCTTCCAGACTAAACACTTCTACTAACCAATAAAATAGTATTATTTTTTATTCTACTAAAAAATTCCAAAAGATCCCATTAAATTGAAACACTATATTTATTCGGTTGGATACAAAGATTAAAAAATAATGATAATTTAATATAAAAGTAAAATATGTAAAGAAATATAATAAAAAATTTATTAAAAAGTTATAAATAATACTCCATCCGTCCCACTTACCGTGTCTACGTTTTTGTTCGTCTCATATCTCATGTCACTTTCCTTTTTGAAAAATGATTATACACTTTAATCTCATTTTAATTTTTTTTTATTTTATCATTTTTTAAAATTTTAATTAGACTAATTAATTATCTTAATCTTAATCTATAATTATTTATATTATAAGATAATTATTTTTTCTAATACATTCTTAATTATCTACTAATTATATTTATCCTAAATTCCAGTGTCTACAATAATCCGGAGACAGTACATAGGACGGAGGGAGTAGTAATATATAAAAAAAAAAAAAAAAAAAATTGTAGCAGCAATTTTATTATTTTGCTAATCTATGAATAATTAAATATTGAGTAAATAAAATATTTTACTATAAATGAATCGATAAATTTAATTAACAAAATCTAAATAAATTTGATATGGATCAAAGAAGTATCAAATATACATATATAGATTTGTATTACAACCAATTTTATTTATTTTTTCTTTGTTAATTGAAAATTCAATTTCATTTATATTCAAATGGATCACATAAGTTCCAAATGATCTGGCCCATTAAGACATTGGGCCTAAAACCAAATTACCATTACTTTAATTCTAAACCAAATGAAATGGATTAAGCTCCAAATCAATCTGGCCCATTAAACAACTTGGGCCTTAATAAAAAATTAGATAAGGGTAAAATATATAAAGCCATACAAACTCACTCACAAGACACTTGACTGAATGAAAAAAACAAAGTTGCCTTTCTTTTGGAATTTTGAAAATTTTTAAAAAATAAAAAATTAAATGTTTTGATGGAGAATCTTTTATCATAAAAAATAACTAAGACATATGATATATTTTGAAAAAATTACTATTAATAAACAGTATAAATATTTAATATATATATATGACAGCGGTTATCGTGCTGATTGAATCAAATTAAAATATATTGTCGTAAAAAAATCACCATCGACGATTTAATCAAAAAAACATGTCGGAATCGATTTGTTTTAAGGGTTCCTTGGCTTACTCGAGAAAGGATTCGGACTATCTTATATATATATATACGAATAACTAATATAAAAAAATATGTAAAAATAAAGCTGATAAAACAAAAAAGCTGGAAAAAGAAAAGAAGAAAAAAAAAAAAAAAGCTAGAATTGATTAAAATTTTCAGAAAAATATTGTACAATCTTGAAGTAAAAAAGTATAAAATAATACTTCCTCCGTCCCAAAAATATAATCCTATTGTATTGGACACGAGATTTAAGAAATATTGATATTATATTAGTAATCGATAAAATGTAAGGATAAATGACTTTTTTGCCCTTGTAAGTATATTAGTGTAAAAAGTAGTGGCAATTGTGTAATAATAATGAAAAAATAGAGATAATTTTATGGTAATATGGTTATTTATGAAAATGAGACTATTGTTTTGGAACGGACAAAAGTGGTAAACAAAACTATTGTATTGGAATTGAGGGAGTAACGAAGAAAACCATGAAATCCATGTGTTTTGATTAGGAACTTCTGGACCTTCTGCTGGGCCACGAACTTCCAAATGGTTGATTAGGAACTTCTGTCAAAAAAATATATATTTTTTTCAAAATCATTTTGATTAGGAACTTATGTCAAATGTTCAATACTGAAATTTTTGTTTAAAGTTTTTTCTAATTTTTTTATTTTTTCAACAAACAATTTGAAATACCTGAAGTCATAAATTATCTTGCTACATTAACTTGATCACTTTTACACAACAAATCTGTTTAAATTAGTAAACTTAAAAATTGAGCTTTAATATTACCCATTCAAGCCTATTTAACTTGAAACGGCTCACAATCAACGCAAATGTGTTTCCATTAAATTCAATAATAAAAATAAATAAATTAAAAGTAAGTACGATTTACTTATTTAGTAAGTTGATTGGCTCCATCTTCAACATACAGACTCTATTTATGCCGTTTAACTCAAACAATAAAATTATTATACTACTTTTATTTTAATCAACAATTCTATTTTCTACTTCAAAAAGAATATTCTTCAAATATTTTATTTTATATATTATTTTAAATCACTTTTTATATATACAATTAATATTATCCTTTTAAAAAAATTAAAAAATAAAAAATAAATAAAAGAATTAATATACAAAAATTTAATTTTTTTCTTTTAAAAAAAACCACAACTCCAAAAATAGAGTTGCTACGTTGCAATACCATTATTGGTAAATGGTGTTGCACCGTAGCATTTACACCAAATATGGGGTGGATTTGAGCGTTTCAACTTCATTTTGTGAACAAAACTCCAAATATGGAGTGTGGTTGGAGATGCCCTGAGACCAACCTTAACCGGACCACACCACACCAAGACTCACTAGTCTGAACCAATTTCTACTTTTATGAGTTTTACAATAAGTTTTTACTATTCCATATTCTTTTTTTTCTTTAAAAAAATATCACATCAAACAATAAATTACAGATAAATTTGCAAAAAAATTTCACTATGTGAATCGAAAACTTAATATTGCAATTAATTTTTTTTATATTATATTACAAATTTATTTTACATTCCAAACATCACATCAAACATTATTTTTATAATATCAAATAATTATTTAAATTCAACTTTTTACTATTAAAAATCCAAATTCAAAAATTTCTAAGGGTATGTTTCTTTTACTAAAATTTTCAGGTTTCTATTAGACTTTGCATTTTTCGAAAAAAAAAAAAATTTATACAAAATATCTCATCATACATTATATTAATACCAAATTTAAACTAAAATTTTTTCAAACTCATCAAAAGAAACGCACCCAAAACCCACAAACATACACACCTAATATTTTCGGTCCGGTCCAAACCGGCCTATTATACCCAGTGACATGGCCTACCTCAACTCATGGACCGGACCAGACCGGACCGGCCGCCCGCTTGCACACCTTCAATCCATACATATACACTTACACATGTATATGAGTATATGTATATATATAGTCGGACCGAATTTTCTGTCCCATTAACACAATCTATTTTCCTATTTTTAAAAATATATTGTGTATTGTGTATATATATACATGTATATGTATACATATTGGGTGTGTTTGTTTGGGGTTTAGATTTTGAGTTAGGATTTGAATAGTAAAAATTTTGAATTTGAATAATTGTATAATGTAATATAAATAGATGTTTATGTTATGTTTTTAATGTAAAATTAATCTTTATATAATATAAAATCCTTCAAACAAACACACTCATTATGTGTTTAGAGACAAGGGAATAAGATTTGTTTTTTGGGATGTATACGTATATGTGTATGAGTAATATGCAGACACCCCCAACACCACCCACCCCCCTCCCTTATCTCTTTTATTATCAATCAATCAATCAATCAATCCCACACACAAACTCACTCACTCTCCGATAAGTAGCAGAAGCAGTACGCTGCTCTCTCTCTCTCCTCTCTCTCTCAAGAGCTTTTCTTGCATTCTGTTTCCCAGCCTACCCCTTCTCCTCTATCCCTATCCCTATTCCTATCCTTAACCATAACCATATCCCTTCTCACCACTGCTCCTTCTGCACACACACACATATATACATACACATATACATATATATCGACATACCTTTAGTCAGTAACAGTTACATAACGGCTTTCTTCATACTTGCCTTTTCTGCCCTTGTCTGAATCCTGTCCTCCTTCTTCGTGTGCCTCTGCGACAAAATCTCAGTTTGGAATTTGATCAATTAGGGCAAGAAGAAGAAGAAGAAAGATGATTACCTGGCGCGACCTCTACTCGGTGCTTTCCGCCATGGTTCCTCTCTATGTCGCTATGATCCTCGCCTACGGCTCCGTCCGTTGGTGGAAAATCTTCACCCCCGATCAGTGCTCCGGAATCAACCGCTTCGTCGCCATTTTCGCCGTCCCGCTCCTCTCCTTCCACTTCATCTCCACCAACAACATCTACGAGATGAACTTCCGGTTCATCGCCGCCGACACTCTGCAGAAGATCATCATGCTCGTGCTCCTCGCAGTTTGGGCTAATTTAACCAGAAATGGCAGTCTCGAATGGTCAATCACCATCTTCTCACTCTCCACGCTCCCCAACACTCTGGTTATGGGAATCCCCTTGCTCATCGCCATGTACGGCGACTACGCCGGAAATCTCATGGTTCAGATCGTCGTCCTCCAATGCATCATCTGGTACACGCTCCTCCTCTTCCTCTTCGAGTACCGCGCGGCAAAAATGCTGATTATGGAGCAGTTTCCAGAAACCGCCGCCTCAATAGTGTCGTTTAAAGTCGAATCGGATGTCGTCTCCTTGGATGGACAGGATTTCCTCGAGACCGACGCGGAAATTGGAAACGACGGCAAGCTTCATGTCACTCTGAGGAAATCGAACGCCTCGCGGCGTTCGTTTCACGGTGGCTCCTTCTCCGGTATAACTCCGCGGCCGTCTAATTTGACCGGCGCTGAGATTTACAGCCTCAGTTCTTCCAGAAATCCGACTCCGAGAGGCTCTAATTTCAACCACACGGATTTCTACTCGATGATGGGGATGGGGAGATTGTCCAATTTCGGAAACTCTGATACTGGTAGGCTCTCGAATTTCAACATCGCCGATATGTTTTCGGTTCAATCTTCCAGAGGACCGACGCCGAGGCCGTCGAATTTCGAGGAAAACGCCGCTGCCGGAGCTCATATGAACAATTCTCCTCGATTCGGTTACTATCCTCCTCAGCCTGCAGCTCCGACGTCTTACCCTGCTCCGAATCCTGAAATCGCTTCTTCAATGCCGAAACCTGTGAAATCCAACCAGCAACAGCAACAAGGAAGTAACAACAAAGCGAATCACGACGCGAAGGAGCTTCACATGTTTGTTTGGAGCTCAAGCACCTCTCCGGTATCTGAAGCCGGCGGCGGAGCCGTCGCCGCCGGAGGTCTACACGTCTTCGGCGGTCCTGACTTCGGCGCTTCCGATCAATCAGGTAGGTCAGATCCAGGAGCTAAGGAAATCAGATTATTAGTCGCCGATCATACTCAAAATGGTGAGCAGAAAGGTGAAAAATGACAGAAAACTCTCTTACTCTTACCTTACATTCTGCAACTCGATTGTTCACTAATTCTTCTCCGGCGTCGAACAGCGGTTCCGCAGACGGCTTCCGCCGGCGGCGAGGAGTTCAGTTTCGGCGGTGAGGAAAAGGAGAGGGAAGGCGGTGGACCAGGCGGTGAGCTGTCGAAGCTGGGGCCGACCTCCTCCACGACGGATGTCGAACCTGCAAAATTGGGCGGAAATGGCCACGATGGTGGAGCCGGAAAACACATGCCGCCAGCTAGCGTGATGACGCGCCTCATCCTGATAATGGTGTGGCGGAAGCTTATCCGTAATCCTAACACCTACTCCAGCCTGATTGGCGTGATCTGGTCATTGGTCTCCTTCAGGTAATTGAACAAAAATCCTAAACCCTAACTCGCTCGATCTCTGAGCCATGGAATTGACTGATTCGAGGTGAATCGGCGTTCGATTGGGGTGAATTTCAGGTGGAATGTTCATATGCCTAAAATCGTGGATGGATCGATCCACATACTGTCGGATGCTGGTCTGGGAATGGCGATGTTCAGCTTGGGGCTGTTCATGGCGCTTCAGCCGAAGCTAATTGCGTGTGGGAACACGGTGGCTTCGTTCGCCATGGCGGTTAGGTTTTTGACAGGTCCTGCAGTAATGGCGGTGGCTTCCATTGCTATCGGCCTTCGCGGCAGCCTTCTTCACATTGCAATTGTGCAGGTCACTCCCTCATCCCACTCATCTTTTATTTATTTATTTTGAAAAAAAAATAATTATCATATTTTTCTTTAAAAAATATATAAAAATTATAGCAATGAAACATAAAAAAAAAAAAAAAAAAATGGTAAGATAGTCATAAAAATTGAAAAACAAAAAAAAAAATAGTAAAAGATTATGATCCATGGTTTCGTAAAAAAAAAAATATTGTTTTCTTGTATTGGAGATTTATAAGCATTTTGTTCTTTCTTATATTCCTTCTTACACGTTTTTCTAAAAATATTAATATACTACTATATTTCTTTATTATTTTTATATTCTTTATGTAATTTTTTATATCTCATAAAATTTTTTTTTTTATTTTCAACAATTTCACTGAACAAACACATCTTTCCTAAAATTCATACATATCATCATTTAAAATTTATGAAGAATGTCTTAAATACTTATATGGTTACAAAGGAAATTGTATATTTGATTAACTTTCAATCTGATAAATTATTGTTGAATTGTGCTGAATAACTTATGATATAATATCTTAATTTTTACCATTACATTTTATAATTAATACTATAATTAATATTAAAATTATTGATTTTTAACTATTTTCAAAATTTTCAAATTTCAAAAGTCTTTAAAAGTCTTTGTCTAAGTGATGAAATTCTATAATATAATTAAAAGAAAATAGTCATCGCAATTTTTAAATAAATAAAACAATATTGAGCTTATGTATAGATTTTTTTACAAAATACATAAAAAAATTCACATAATTTTTGAACTACAAAGAAAAAAAGTAGTGATCTAAGAAATTAACATAAAAAATTCACATAAGAAATTTTTGAACCACAATATTGGATGTAAGAAATTTGCCTAAATTGTTAGTTTTATAGATTCCTTGCAATTTTTAAATAAAATAATATATATATATATATATATATATTGGGCTTATGTATAGATTTTTATGAAATACATAAAAATTCACACAATTTTTAAACCGTAAAAAAAATAAATAATAATAAAAAAATTTAAAAATTATAGCAAACCATAATAGGATGTAACAAAATTAGTTTAAATTGTACTATCTTTCGTCTCTTAACAATCTATCTATTTTTCTATTTTGGTCCTTCTTGTAACAAAGTATTTACCTAACATTAAAGATATCCTTTCAATTTACAATATATTACACAAATATCATTACTTTTATGTCATTAAATACTAACAAGGGTAGTTTAGTCTTTTTACCTTTATTTCTACTACATCCTAATATAATACTAATATTTTATAAAACTCCGTGCAAAAAGTAAACGGATACATAAATAAGGGACTAAGAGAGTATTTTGTAAATGATAGTCCGATAGTGTGAGGTTATGAGTTCAAACACCCAACGTCTTTAGAGTGGTTGAGGATTCTCCGTTATACTCCCTCCGTCCCAAACACCCTGCAACACTTCTTTTTTTGGTATGTCCTAAACACCCTGCAACATTTTCAAAATAGGAAATAATTAATTATACTTAATCTCTACCCCACACTTTATCTCCTCATATCATCCAAATAAAAAAATAAAATATATATTTCTTTCTCTATCATATCACCTAATTTCTAAATTATCCTACTTAATACTATCCACCTAAAAACTCGTACCAAAAGAAAATGTTGCACCTTGTTTAGAACGGAGGGAGTATAAAATAAAAAATGTTCTCTTAATTTTGCTTTTCCTACACAAAATTTGTCTAATTTTTATAGTTATTATTATATTGTTACACCTCAGGCTGCTCTTCCACAAGGGATTGTCCCATTTGTATTTGCCAAGGAGTACAACGTTCATCCAGCCATTCTCAGCACAATGTAAGAAAATCATCTCCCACACATTTATATATATATATATATATATATTAAATCTAAATATTTAATTTCTATATGTAAAATGTAGCTAATTATCGACTTATAATACAATTCAGGGTCATCTTCGGAATGCTGATCGCCTTGCCAATCACTCTGGTTTACTACATTCTTCTTGGCTTGTAAGACCATTTTCAAACAAATTAAAGTTAATCGGAAGTCGTCGAAAACTAAGTAAATTATATATGTACGTCGGGAGAGAGGTTTCCACTGTCGGGGGCTGATCTGATCATCGATGTCGCGCTGGCTTTCGATCAAAAGCGAAAATTCAAGCCGTAGACGACGATCATCTCCCGATGATATATATATATATATACCGAGCAACGAAAGATCGAGCTCTTGTAGGAAGGAATGATGACGAAGATAACACGGCCTAGGCTCGAATATTTAAAGCGCTTGTTGTCCAGGAAGAACTCAGGGAATCGAATTGAGATTATTGTTGTAGGAATTTTTCTTTCTTGGTAATTATTATTATGTATGATATGATGAATATAATTAGCCTTTTTTTTTTTTTTTTTTTTTTTTTTATTTTTTTATTTTGTCAATTGTGATTGTTGATGTATTAATTTGTTGGTGTTTTAAGTATTGGTTAACTTTGATGTAAAACACTTTAGGGTGCATGATTATTAGTCATTGAGTTAGTGAAGGTTTTATTTTATTTTGCATGGATCTTTGATTTTTATTTTTACAGTGTCATTATATATATATATATATTGTTTAATAAAAAAAAAACTATATTTATATTTTGACGGCAGTTAGAGGGCTGACTATGATAAATATATAGTGTATTGATTTGATTAAATTAGCATATTAACATGAAGCATCTAGTATTTCATCACAAGACAGATAGCACATGATCAAGTTAGTATATTAATTTGAAATAATTAATATTTAATTACAAAACAAATGACATGCATATTATGTATTATATATAGAAACATGTATTGTATGAATTATATACTCTCTCTGTCCCATAACAAAGTATCCATTTTTTCATTTTAGTCCGTCCATAAAAAAGTATCAATTTTCTTTTTTAGTAACTGTACTATCTACCTAACATTACAAATACCCTTACAACTTACAATATATTACACAAATGTCATTGCCTTTATATCACACATACTAATAAGGTTATTTTAGTCATTTTTACTTTATTTCTACTATATCCCAATATAATACTAATATTTCTAAAACTACGTGTAAAAAACAAATGGATATTTAGTTCTGGGACGGATGAAGTATTATGTTGAAATCAATATATATTGTTCTACATAAAATTATATAATGTGCTATAGTATATTTTGTATTAACATTTGCTATATGGGTGATATATTGTATTTGTGCTTATAATCTGCTTATTATATTATTGTGTTTAAATTAGAATATATTATATGCTAAGTTTAGTTATATAATGTGAAATCGAAATATTTTAATATTTTTTTATTAATTTTTTTTATTATTATATATCTATATTTTGATAACGTGAAGAAGTTACAAATTAAGTTTGACAAGAGTAATGACAAATAAGACCTGAAAGCATCGAAAATTTGAAAATATAAACTTGAATAACGTGACGTTGGAGTATTATTTTCAATAACTAAATGATGAATAGTTTGGATATTATATTACGAAAAAAGTAGTATATTTTTGTTTACAATTGTAATGATTGAAAAATAGAAAAAAAAAATTTTAAAATTTTCAATCCCTATATATTTATATATCATGTTGAACTTAACAAATAGTAATTAGAGCAACGATTGTAGATTTTCATTTTAAAATAATATCAACTTAATATACATTCAAATAATATCAACTTAGGCAACAATAAAATCGAACATTCAACTGTACTCATAACTTAAAACAAAACACACCGTAAATGTGACTTTTTTTTTATATAAAATAAAATAAAATAAAATACATAAAAAGCAACATGGGCAATAGTATTATTGAAGAGGTTGATAGCTAGAAATAAGGAAGACAATGCAGAGGTGGTTGGCGTTTATTTCTTTCATTACAGGTCACTATCCTTAATAATCAATAATAATCAATCTATATTATAGGGTTAGGGGGGGTAGACCCACCCCACACCCACCCCGTGCATGTGATGTTTCTCATACACACACATGCATGCATGCACGCACAAATTCATTGAACATGTCATCGCCCAGCATATATGTCTTCAAATTTTAAATTGTCATTATATATATATATATATATAGATATATACACGCACGTGTTTGTTTGGATTTTACAGTGTTTTGAATTTAATACTACTTCCGTCCGACTCTAAGAGTCTCATTTATTTTTTGCGTGTTGATCTTTGAATATTAATTATTACTATATGAAAACGTAGTACAAATTATGAGAAAATGACAAAAATACTTCTATTAGTGTCTTATAATACTATTATAATAATATTTATGTAAAAAATTATACAAATATAAGAATATTTTTAATGTTAATTACAATGACGCAAAAGGTAAATGAGACTCTTAGAGCATGACGAAAAAAGTAACTTTTATAGAGAAAATAATATTGGGTTTGTGTGCCCACAATTTTCTTTTCGAATCAAAACACTAAACAAACAAACCCATGGTTATGCTATTATTCTTTTGAAAGAGTTTCGACACTAATAAAAAATCGAGTAAAAGTAAGTATTTAATACTACTTCCGTCAGCCTCTAAGGTTATTTTTACCTTTTACGTCATTTTACTGAATATTAAAAATATTTTTATATTTGTATAATTTTTTGTACGAATATTAGTATTATAAAACACTAATAAAAGTATTTTTGCATTTTTTCCCCTTAATTTGTACTATATTTTGATATAATAATTAATATTAAAAAATCAACACTCAAAAAGTAAATAGAATCTTTAAAGCTTATAGCGGGACAGAATGACTATAATATTTGGTAATTTATTTGATATATTTTAGGTATACTATTGATAAATAATATTCCCCCATCCGATCAAAATTATATTAATTCTTTTTCATTATTTTTTAAATATATAAAAACTATATATATATTTTTTTATATAATTGCATTAAATTATCTCTTAATTATAAATTTACTTTCTACTCTACTCTACTTGTTTTTTACCGACTCTTATTGTATGTAAGAAAATATAGAAGAAGACAGCGTCAAATTGGGAGAAAATTACAAAAAAGCTCTTTAATGTATATCTCATTATCACTTTTATCTTGCATTTATCTCGTTGGCAAAATATATATTACATATTTGCAAAAGTCGCTATTTATATCCTTTAGTCGCGCGTGACATTCACACCATGCGTGATCGCGTGCGGCCAAATGATATAAATAACAACTTTTGCAAGTATGTGGAATATATTTTGTCAGCGAAATAAATACAAGATAAAAATAATAATAAAATATATATATATATTATATGAGATATTTTTTGCATTTTTCCCTCAAATTGGTAGTAGAAAGACACAAATGAATCATGATATATGTGTGTTTATTTTGTGTTTTTGAATCAATGTATTTTTTATACTCCCTCCGTCTCATAACAAAGTATCCATTTTTCCATTTTAGTCTGTCTGATAACGAAGTATCTATTTTCTTTTTTAGTAATTGTACTATCTACCTAACATTACAAATACCCTTACAACTTACAATATATTACACAAATGTCATTATTTTTATATCACATACTAACAAGGTTATTTTAGTCATTTCTACTTTATTCCTATTATATCCTAATATAATACTAATATTTCTAAAACTACGTACAAAAAGCAAATGGATACTTCTTTTTGGGACGGATGAGGTATTATGTAACAAAAAAATTATATTGATAATATAAAAATATTATTTTATATTAAATTGCTAATCTTTATATATATATATATTGTATTTTTCTCATAAGTATAGAATTATGGTATCAAAATAAATTGAATAAATGCATTGTTCTAAGATTTGTATTTGAGTTTTAAGGTCGAATTAACACACTAAGGTATTTGATTTGATTATTTTGAAAAAAAAAAAATTAAATTAATAATTCAATATCAAATTAAAACTTAAAAAAATGATGATTTATTCTTCGAAGTTTGGTATCATTTTTTATTTTTTTTTTCAACGTACAACAATTTTATTTTTGTTTTATAAAAATAATTAAATTTTTTCATAAAATATTAAATTAAAATAACTATGTATATATATATATATATAACACAAGTAAATCACGTGTCCTTTAATCAAATCCTTATCCCAAGATTCATCTTTATTTTGGATATAATATTATTTTATAAGATAAACAAATCATTGACTATTAAAATAAATAAATAAATAATATTATTATCCTTTTAACTATGGGTAGGCGGGCCATCAATTAAAAGGGAAGCCTATGTCATGTACGGATCATATAGCATATCCTTCACTCTTGGATGGATGCCTAATGATAATTAATAGGATTAGTAATTTTTTATTTATGGAATAAATATATATATATATATTTTTTAAATATTGGATAGAATACTTATTCTCTACTTTCTATATATTTTTATTATTATTTTGATCAATCTTATATAATTTGTTTTTTTTTTTAAAAAAATATATATATATAATTATATACTTTAGTTATATTTATATTTTATAATTTATAATTTTTAATGTTTGAAAAATTTTAGATATTTAATTTTAAATTTATTAGATATAGATATAAATTTAGATTTAGATTTAGTTATATTTATTAGATTTAAGTTGTTTAAATTTGATCTATCGAATTTGTTTTATGGTACTTATGTATAGGCCCTTATTTTGATTGTTGAGTATATCCCACATTGAAAAATGTGTGGGATCTCCCCTACTATATAAGGTGAAGGACCACTCCACCTATCACCAATTGGTTTTAGGTTGGATGCCCGGATCCTTTCTTTACATTGATAATCTATAAAGCAATTTTTAAGATTTCTGCAAAATATTTTAATACTTAATTTTAATTAAATTATTTAGTTATTTTAATCATGCAATAAGTATTTTACTAATTCACTTATTTATTATTTGCTAATTATATTTTACCTAAATTTTAATATTAACAGTAATATGGACGAAAATGCTGGAACGGAGGGAGTATTTATTATTTTGATTCTTTAACATAAGTCTAAAGAAATGTTATTTTTTTTAATTTATAGTCGTTAAAAGTATAAGATGATACTCCCTTCGTCCCATGTAATATGGGTGTATTACTGTAGACACAAGAATTTAAGTAAAGTATAATTAGTAAGTAATTAAGAAGTGTATTAGTAAAAATAATTGTAGATTAAGATTAAGATAAGTAAATAGTTTAATTAAAATTAAGAAAATTATAAAATTTAAAATTTAAAATGCGATTAAAGTGCATAATTATATTTCCAAAAATAGAAATGACAAGTTATGTGGGACGGACGAAAATAAAAAATATGGACAAATTATGGGACGGAGGGAGTATTAAAATATTGTCATATATGCTGACATGGATACTGATGGCAGCACGTGGGATTACGAGCATAGAGCAAACTTTGGAGCAGTTCTTACAATTTATTTAGGGTGTGTTTGTTTGGGGGTTTGGATTTTGAATTGAGATTTTGAACACTAAAAATTTTGAATTTGAATAGTAGTATAATGTGATATAAATAGGTGTTGATGTGATATTTTGAATGTAAAAT